TTTAATTTGGTACCGGGGATCGAACTCAGGTCCGGAACCACTGAGCTAAGTCGGTGGTCCTTAAACCATTTTTAAACTACTTCTACAACATGATCTTTAAAGGCCAGGGCTTAATACTGGGATACTTTGTATCTATTGTGCAACTGTGTTTCTACCTGCTTTAAATACCGATCGTATCCATCTAATAATTATAGATACTAAACTTTGGGAAGCAGTGCTTACTTCAAATGTTCTGTGCTTTCCCCCTGTCATTAGTGTTCTTGAGGCCTGCATAGATGTTCTTGTTTTAGAAAGCATATGTTCTATTGATATTTCCTGAAGGAGTATGGGAATTGGGTAATGTAAGCAGGTTAGAGATGTAACTGTGTGTTCTTAATGTGGTTACACTTTTCTTTCGCCCTTCTACTTTAATTTTTTTTTCTTTTCTTCCTTGTTTTCCTAGTCTTTATTTTTTCTGCTCCCCCATCTTGCCATTAAGACAGGGTTTACAAGAATACCTGAATCATTTATATAGACTATTCTGGTTAAAAAAAGTAAAAATACAGCGAATATGATTTATCACAGTAGCAATAAAGACTTGCACGTGATTTTTGTTTTCATGTTGGAGTGTTTGTGAAAGAGCAGGTTTTTAGTCAAAGTTGCATGAGACCTCTGATAAGTTACCAGAATTTCAGCCTTAGTTGTTTATCATTAAAGTCAGGAATTCTTGATTATTCACAATACTAGAAGGTTCCGTTCCATTGTGTGCTAGTCAGGTATATTGTGAAGTATATAAAGAAATCTTGTGCTGAAATAAAATTAGACATCAAAAGCTAGGTAATGCCAACTTTACTTACTGGGTTGATGGTGGGAATCTTTAGGTCAGTTTTTGTTGAGAAATTAGAAAGGACTCTTGGCCACTTGCCAGACTTGTAGGTTCCTTAAAATGCTCGTATATGAAAATACATTTAAAATCTCTTTACTCTGTGTGGGAAGCCGTTCTTTTTAATCCTTGATTCATATAAGTTCTAAATTGGATTATATTTAAGTAGAAATTGCTTTATATTAGTCTCAGTTAAATGGCATCAGTAATAGTCATTGTTTAAAGGAGAATTTTAAGCATTTTATTCCAGAATATTTATAAATTAAACAACCTACTCAAGAAATTAAGTAATGTAGGTAATGAAACATATTGAAGTTTCTCTATCTCTGTCTCTTTTTCTCTTTGTCCTAGTTGTATCCAGAAAAAAAAAACAAAAACAATCCCTTATTACTAGAGAACAGGTCATAGTAACAGTTTCATTCCCAGCATATAAAAATCACATTTTTTTCTCTTTTTAACTATTCAAAAGCTTTTATGAAACAGTTTACTTAGTGCTGTAAAGTTTTGATCTCCTGATATAATGGTAAAATAAAGCAATTGTGAAGTGCATTACCTCATATTTTTCTGCATTTATACATGAGTGTGTAATCATATGAATTCAAATAGGATTTTTTAAAGTATCCCTTGAAACTGTAATAGTTTATCATATGTGCACTAGCTTGTGAAAGTTGGTGATGTTGTTGCATTATAAATTTGCACACAAATTCACTTCCATCAAATGCAGATGTTTGAATCTTAGAATCTTAACAGTTGATTCTATGTAGTCCTACTATTTAATCTGTTAACTAATCTTTCAGTCTAATTAAAAGTACTGAATTATTTTAGGCAGTTTTTATTTATGCACATTTATGTAAATACTTTTTTGTAGTAGTGTATTAGACTTATCTAGGGAATTCTGTGCTCCGCACCCACAGTCACATTATTATTCAGGATGCTTAGATAACACTGTTGATCCCTGTCAAGTAGTCAAAGTATGGATTCTTAGAGTTACAGAATTTGAAATTCTTTAACTCAAATCACTCAGGACTACATTTTAAAATAATCCCATCTTATTATTTTGCTTCATTTTTAATATCTTTTAGTGACAGCGATGAGGAAAAGAAAGCAAGAAGAGGCAGATCTCCCAAAGGTGAATTCAAAGATGAAGAAGAAACTGTGACGACAAAGCATATCCATATCACACAGGCCACAGAGACCACAACAACTAGACACAAGCGCACTGCAAATCCTTCCAAAACCATTGATCTTGGAGCAGCAGCGCATTACACAGGAGACAAAGCAAGTCCAGATCAGAATGCTTCAACCCACACACCTCAGTCTTCAGTTAAGGTGGGAGTGGGAGGGGTTTACCCATTATACACAGTTTATTTTTATAAACTACTTTTAGGATTTCTGCCTTAGTTGGCTTGAGCCAGCATTTGTAAGCAATCATATTAATTATGGATCATCTGGTATATATTAATTAGTCCATAGTAGTAAGAAATCTCTTTGGAGTAAGAAACCTGTCCAGTTGCTCAGTGACTGACTGTACTTTCTATGAAAGTAGAAATGATACTGTGAATCAGAGTGATGCATCTATTTCCATCTAGATTTTGCACAGTTTCATTCACTAGGGAAAATCTGGAATATTTGGAAGGTTTAAGAAATGACAACAGAGTTAGGTATAGTGGTGCACACCTATAATCCCAGCTCTCCAGAGGTTGAGGCAGGAGATTGCTATGAGCTCGAGGCCAGCCGGGGCTGCATAGTGAAGCCCTGCCTCAAAGTGAAAAAAACAAAAAACAAAAAAAAAACAGGACAAAAGAAACTGATGCATAGGAAAAATGGTCTAATTTAACACTGAGATGGTGCCTATATATAAAGAAGGTTTATTTGCCTTGTGGTCATTACTTATCAGAGACACAAGGCACTGCCTCTTGTACCTTCTTCTTTTTTTTATTCACTACAGAAATGAAATCCACCTGCTAGATAGCTGACAAGCTAGTCTTTCAAATAGAAATCTGCCAAAGGAGAAGTTTGCTCCAGAAGGTTAAATTGCTGTTTCTGTCATTATTTTGCCCCCTACATTTACTCAACAAATAATTTTATAGCAATAGTTAAAAGCTGAGGGAAACATTTTCCTAATGTATCCAGCAAATTGTATGTGACTGTGAACATTAAAGTTAGGCCTACTTGGAGGCCAATTCTTTGCCAAGTCTCTTCTGTACTGCTGTATAATTTGTTTTGTTTTTTAAGTTTTGCTGAAAACCTTGAAAGTATCCAATCCAACTTGAATTGTAGTTAAATAAAGTAAATGGCTCTCTTACTTATTTCTGGTCTTAGGCTTCCCCTTGTGTTGTAGACAGACTTAGTTTACTGATTGTTTTGTAGGATCTGATAGTCAAAATAATTAAAAGCCAAACACATGGTTCCAGTCATAGAGAATTCATATTCAGACATGGTTGTATGAGAAAAATCGAAACTGTCTCTCTCTTTTTTTTTTTTTTACAACAAATTGAGAGTGTTGTCTCAAAGTAGTTTAAACATATCTTGGAATTCCGCTCTTTCCCTCTTGGCTAATTATTCACTTGTAATTCAGCATGTATGTACTGAACATAGGAGGCATAGGTGTAAGGGTGCTTAGCACTGTGGAGAAGCTAAAAATACTTCATTGTTTAATTTGGGAACTAAATACAAAACAGATGTCACGTTATATCAAACACCATAGAATTATATTATCTTGTGT